TCAGGTGTTTTAAAACACTAGTCACAATTGATTTTAAAATGGCAACTATTAAAATATCAAGGGCCCAGAAAAACAACAGTTAAAGGAGATCATGAATTTGTACATAGCAGCTTAAAACATTATTTTAAAACGTCTTTAAAATGTATGAACTCAACCCTAGGAGCTTACTTCTCGGAACTACTTTCATAATATTACCAAACAACATTTACTAAGTATTGACTAGGTACCAAATACTCTGCCAACAGGTTTATATACCATGTCATCTACATACATCTTTGATGGTTCCTGAGGCTAAGCAGGTTACTAACTCGGCTATACCTCATTGCAAGAGCTAAAAGGTGATTCTCAATCTGGGTAGACTCCAAAGCTAATGATCTTAAGCACTATACTACCCGTCATTGTTTCTCCAGGACAAAAGTGAGAGACAAAGGCATACACAACGATCTAAATACCAAAATAATTATTTTAGAAATTCATAAAAATCGTAATTCATAAAAAGTCATAAAAATCTTACCAGCTAGACTGTATGTCCTAATGCCCTCACCTCCCCAAAATACATAGTTCCATCTACTAAATTTGCTTACAAATGCTGCTCTCACAACAAGTTCAAGTAGTCTTCAAATGATCACTCATATAGATCCCATGTTCAGTTTAGATATTCTAACTTAGCAGGCTCCCGATTGGTCATGCAGTTAAACACTAAGCCTACTGGAATCTAGATATTGCCAATTACCATTTTCCTGATTTGCTGCAAGTCATTTTCAGCTGCCCACTTTTCATCAGTTAATACAACATGCATACAGCATCTCAAAAGATAACCATATGAAAACGACAATAAAGGTGCAGGGGAGGGCAGAGAGGGATTCACACTAAATGGCCCGGACTCGTGGAGGAAAGGCAGAGCTTTTGAACCAGGTGAATTAGCTATGGCATAGTATGCTATGCAAAAACCAGGGGGAAAAATCTTTTTAAATTTTAAAGGTCTGCCTTTTATTGCATTAAGATTGTAACTTGTAAGACCACTTCTTAAATTCACCAGGCTCAATATGGCTGCATTTACATAAATTATATTAAACAACATTACTTATTGAGGCCCATTATATGCCATTGTTTTGATAATTTAAATGCACAATTTCTAATCTTCACAATAAGCAAGTCAAGTATCTTTGTTTCAGATAAGAAATCAAACTTACAGGTAGGTGATTTATTCAAGGCCTCAGAATTGTTAAAATGGCAAGGCAATCTGGTTTCCATCCTTACCACAAACTTTCTAATTAGTTAATAAGCCCAACAGAAGATTCTAATTTTGCTGTCTCTCTCCATCGCACACTGGACCTCTTGAAGGTACAATTGACAGTAGGCATTCTTCTGGTACTTCTTCTCAGCTTCCACCCAACCCAATTGAAAATACAAACATTCCCTTAGGTTCTTTCAATCCCTGGAACTCTTTTCCACCCTCTCCAGGGGTCATTCTGCTCTCAAGGTTCCCCCAGGTTTGTCCCTCTATCAACGTTGTGTAAACTGACTATATCCAAAAATTAGTGCCCACAGTGAAAGTGCGAAATAGAAACTCCCTTTGAGGGAAACTCCCTTTCCCTCATCCCTCTCCACTGGGTTTCTGACATTTTAACCAGTGTCTGAGACACAGTAGTTAAACATTCGGTGGCTGAGATAGAATAGCCACAATATAAACATGAACCAACATTATTACTGCTTTCTTTTCCTATGTTTCACGTCCAATTTTATTTGTTCTAAATGTTTAAATATCATTCTTTGGCAATCCCACAACTGCTCCCCCACTACTCCTGTGTGGACTTACTATAACTAGTTTCTACCCTATACAGCAATCAGGGATTTTTTTTTTTTTTTTTTAATAAAAGGCCTTATGTCATTTACCTGCTTAAAACCTTTCCTGTTTCTAGGGTGAAATCCAAGCTCCTTAATATGGCATACAAGACCCTTCCCATGATTCCCAGCTTCGACTTGACCTTTCCAGTTACTCCATGACTTTAGTATTTATAGAACTTCATGTTCCAATTAACATCCACCTTTTTACTTTTCAAGTATCCTTCTAGGCCTACTCTGACAATCTCTATTTTTATCCACCACTCATTCCGTAGAACTGAAGTGTTGACCCATCCAAGATACTTCTTCCCTTCTACAGTCACCTCACCATCACTGAATCTGTACCTATGTCTTCCAGTAAGAGCAAGATCTTGGAGAGGGGTCAATCTTTTTTTTTTAAATATATTTTATTTTTTACAGAGAGGAAAGGAGAGGGATAGAGAGTTAGAAACATCGATGAGAGAGAAACATCGATCAGCTGCCTCCTGCACACCCCCTACTGGGGATGTGCCCACAACCAAGGTACATGCCCCTGACCAGAATCGAAACTAGGACCCTTGAGTCCGCAGGCCGACACTCTATCCACTGAGCCAAACCGGTTAGGCAAGGGGGAGGGGGTGCTGCGGGTCAATCTGTATATTAACAGCACCTAGCACACTACCAGGCACATAAATTGGGTAGTTGAATGAACTAACCAATAGGGATTTGGAAACAGAAGAGTTCTGCCCATTCTCGTGGCTTCAAAACCTGGGTCTTTCCCTTATTTCCTTTGCATTATGTCAAAGGCACTACTAAACCATATTAAGTAGCGCCCACAGTATGACACACGAATTCAGTGTGCAGGGGGATGCTAGCTCTGCCCATTCCTTCCTTTATAAACGCTAAAGGTAGTTTGCTTTTCCTATCAACTTGGAACTACAGAGCTGCTCTATTTTCTCAGTTTCATCCTTGGACTTCTCTGCTGTTTATGTTTGCTCACTGCTAAATGATTCTAACTATTCTTAGCATACCACATTTCCTTCCACTTTCCTACAAGTCTTAGCTTTCTAGTGAATGTAAAGTGTCTAGTGAATTGAAGGTCTCCTTTGCTTTCACATGAAAAACGTATGCAATATCTTAGGTAATTTTAAAAAATATTCATCTGTTGATAGTTATTTGAGAGCTACATCTTTACAGTTAATCTTGTTCCAGACCAAAAAAACTGGATTCTATATAATCAAGGTTTGTTGAGAAACAATTACTTGTATTTGGTTTTCATATATATCGCTGCCAGTTCTGAAAAATAAAGGAACGATGAAAGCATTGCTTACATTTTAAAATGAATGCAGCAAAATACCTCTCCAGGTACTGTATACTCTGTAATATTAGTGTCCCAGTCCCCTACCTCTCAGTAACTTTGCTCTCAGAAACAGGTTCTGCTGAAAAATCTACATAATACAAACCTAAATGCAGAAAAATTAAAACCCCCCAGTCAATCTGGTACACACAAAGTAAAGGAAAACTGTCTCCGGAAGATTTTAAATTCTCTGCCTCATGAGCATTTATTTTCTAAACATGCGCTGAAGAACGGAGGAAGCCAGCCAGTTCAACAGCGGAAGTGAACCTATCTAACTCTACCTTTCAACCAAACTGGGGGAAAGGAATATCCAGAGCACAGCACCCAAACTAAACGCTCCGTTTTATACGCAAAAGTCCCTCCGTTTGGGATTACTGACACCTATTCTTGAGTCAAAAGATACTTGAGGAATACATTCCACCCAAACAAGACTTCCTGCATGCGAGCAAAGTCTCAACATCAAGTACACTACAAGGGGAACCGAATGGCAGAGCTGGACCGAAGTTTGCCACAGAAGCCTGTAATTCACAGCTCATCCAAAGCAGCTGGCAGAAAGAGTAGGAGACTGACTGGGAGGGTGTTACCCAGGGGAATGCCGGCGTCAAAACGGACTGTACTGCATGCACACTTAAGGTGTGTACAATTTGTCTTTACACCTCACATCACAAAACCAAACACGGAACAGCAGCCGCGACATTTCAACTAGTAGGAATACATTAAAATAGAATGTATTGGGGGTTGGGGGGGGGGGTGTGAGGGGGTACTGTTGGACCCTATAGGCCTAAAAAGTATCTTATTTCGGGGAAGCCCAGTCCCACAGGGAAGCGGCAATGCAACAGTGCTCTGGGCAGCGGCGATCGGCATCCCACGGGTGGGCTCCTTCCTGCTCTCGTCCTGCGGGTCTGCAACAGCCCTGCACACGCGTCTCCGGGCTGGCTCATCGCGGCCACGCAGCTCTCCGGGCCCACGCGGAACTCCACCCCCTGCTTCCTGCGCTCTCCACCCTCTCTCGCGCCAAAATCGCGTGCTCCCCTCTACGCCTATCCGGCTCAAGTCCCGCTATTTCCCTCCCCAGCCCAGTCCCGGGTATGTCCTGCCCTAGGCTCCCCGGAGGGTCCCCGCGACCCCCCGCAGCTCCCCGGCTCGGCCTTCATCCCGACCCCCCCCCCCTCCCCCGCGGGCGCTCACATTTTTCGCTGCCGCTCGAACTCGGCTTTCTTCTCCTCCTCCTCTCGCTTCTGCTTCTCGTCCAGGCTGCTGCGCTTGCTCACCGTGCGCCCGAAGATGTCGATGCGGTCGGGCGGGGACGAGGCGCGCTCCCGGTCCCGCTCGCGCCGGGACACGGCCGTGTTGGTGGAGCGAGAGCGGGACCGCGACTCCCGCCGCCGGTTCCGTTTACTCTCCCGGGACTTGGAGCGCTTCCGCACGCGCTCCTTGTCTCGGGACCGCGACCGGGACCGGCTCCGCTTCTTGTTGTGTTTGCTGCTCTTGGTGTGTTTGGAGCGGGACGAGCTGCGGCTCCGAGACCGGCCCATCCTTCCGGGCGGCGCTGTGCCTAACTAACCGCTGGCCTCAGCCCCGCACGCGCCTGGACGCTCTCGCCTGGGCCTCCGGACGCCGGCTGGCGACTCGCTGAAGCCGGGGGAAGGAAGGCTGTCCGCCAGCTGACTTTCCGTCACTCCCTCAGGTGCACGGCCGCCACGAAGGCCACCTCCAAAGACAAGGCCCCAACACCCGGAGTTACTAAGATGGCAGCCGATGCTGCACCGGCCGCCCTTCCCACAATGCCCCGCGCGGAACGCGCTGTCGCGCCAGCCCCGCCCCCGGACGATTGTTGCCGAAGGCCAGGCGAGCATTTCCGAGTGCGCTCGGCTCCTTCCGCCAGCCCCCGCGCCCCTCCCAACGCGCAGGAGCCGAGGTCCCTGGCTTCAGAATAGTACACTTTTGCTTTCTGGTAAGATGCCAACGCCTTAAGAATGAACCTAATACGCTGTGGTGCGAACGAAATCGTGTCTTGGCAGGAACTGACTGCTTCATTTTTCTAGGCTCTGGTTTTGTCAGGCAGCCCTAAGTTACATCAGAGTGACCCTTCGCAGATGACTTGCCTCTCTGAGCTAACTTCCTCATTGGTACAGTGGAGATAACCACAGGCTATGAGGTGGTTGTGAGGCTTACAGGAGATAAAATAGGCTTTGATAAGTGAGAGCCTATGCTTTATATAGGCCTCCATGTGCCATTGTTTTAAATGCTTTGAATTTATTAACAGGTGTTTAATTCCTGTTAATATGGATGGGTACACTGACGTCCAGAGGGTAAAGTTGCCCAGGTCACACAGCTAGCAGGTGGCAGAGCAGGAGTGTGCAAAATCCTTGCACATAACCAGTAACCCCACCAAGCCCTAGCCAGGTGAGCTGTAATCCTACATAGTACAACAAACTGCTACTGTCCTTTTAAACAAGCAATAACCTATGAAAAGTGAAATAAAAACATTTTCTCCACAATGGCAGCAAAAACTATAAAATATTTTGGAATCAAATTTAACAAGTTAAAAGATCCTGATGATGCAATCCCTCAACCTTTGTTGAAAGTCAGAAACAAGACCTGAGTAAATAAAAACCAATGCCCCTTTTTTGAGTGAAAGATCAGTATCAAAAATATGCCAATTCTTTCCAAGTCAAATGACAAAATTAGCACAATTTCCATCAAAGCGCCAAATTCTCTTGAGGATGAATTACAACTAACTAATTTTATTTTTTAAAGCATTTTATTGATTTTTTACAGAGAGGAAGGGAGAGGGATAGAGAGCTAGAAACACGATGAGAGAGAAACATCGATCAGCTGCCGCCTGCATACCCCCCACTGGGGATGTGCCAGCAACCCAGGGGACCCCCCCGCCCCCCCCCCGAGTCCGCAGGCCGACGCTCCATCCACTGTACCAAACCGGTTAGGGCACAACTAACTAATTTTAAATGTTATATGGAAAATCACACAGTCATGAATTATAAAGAAAACCTTGAAAGAAAAGAGTAGTAAGAGTTTGCCCTATAAAAAAAATTAAACACAAAGGTTTTAGCACATAAATAGGAAAATAATCAGTTTAATAGGATAATGTAATTCTTTTTCTTCAGATACATTTAAGTAAAATAACATTTAATAATTTAGAATTAATAGAATTACCCCCATTATACTGGAAATGTTTATGTCAATCCATTATCTATATTATACACATGCACACACATACATATACATGCATTTGGAATGATGCCCATCAAATGTTAAAAACAGTTCTTCCAATTAGTTGGTATATTGACTTCCTAGAGCACTGCAAACTGATGGTATAAAATAACAGAAACATATTCACTTACAGTTCTGGGGTCCAGAAGTCCAAAATCAGGATGTCAGCAAGGCTGGTTCTTTAGGAGGCTCTGAGAGAGAATCTGTTCAACACCTCTCTCTTTGTTTCTGGTGGTTGCTGACAATCCTTGGCATTCCATTTTAGTCTCTGTCTTCACATGTTATTTACTGTGTGTCCTCTTCTTACATGAATGCAAATTATCAAGTTAGGACACATTATAATCCACTATGACCTCATGTTAACTTAACTACATCTGCAAAGACCCTATTTCCAAATCAGGTCACATGAATTTTGGGGGGACATACTATTCAATCTGCTACAATTTATATATATATTAATCCTCTCCAGAGGATAACTTTTCCATTGATTTTTTAGGGAGAGTGGAAGGGAGGAAGGGAGAGGGAGAGAGAGAAAGAAACATCAATGTGAGACACATTGATTGCCTCCCACACACAATCTAATCAGGGCCTGGGATTAAACCTACAACCCCAGTATGTGCCACTGAGCCACACTGGCCAGGGAACAGTTGAAAATTTTGTTTAATTTATTGGTTTTTAGAGAGGAAGGAAGATAGAGGGAAGGGAGAGAGATAGACAGATAGAAATATCAATGAGAGAGAAACATCATTGATCTACTGTCTCCTGCATGCCCCCTACTGGGGATCAAGCATGCAACCTGGGCATGTGCCCTTACGGGGAATGGAACCATGACCTCTAGGTTCCTAGGTGGATGCACAACCACTGAGCCACACCAGCCAGGCAATAGTTGAATTTTAAAAAGCTTTTTTTTCCTAGTATTTTTTTGCATGTCATGAATTCTTTATAATAAAAGCATGGTACTTTATGAAAAGAATAGGAGATGTTTCTTTTAAGTAGTACAGGAATGTGAGAATGTCACAATCTAATATATGATAAGGATAATGCTTTAATTTAGTGAAAACATGGCTTATTAATAAATGCTGCTGTCATAATTAAAATAAAGATATTAAAAATAAGGTACAATTAATTTAGATTTTCGTATCATAACAGGAACAAAAACTAGTATAAGATGGATTGAAATCTAAATATATTCAAAAGCTTAAAATATTTTTCAAATATAATCATGTAAAACATAAAAATATGAAACAATGGTTCTACAGCTTGGAGATTTTTTTTAAAATACAAAACCCTATTCACAGAGATTTTCATATAGTGCTTGAGCCCCAGAATCTCAATTTTTAAAGAAGCATTCAACATAATTCTCTTGTAGGCATTCCACCAACCATAGTTTGAGAAACACTGGTATAAATGAATAGGTTAATAGATGTATCTACATAGATAAAAGACAACTTTGGGAGAAAATATTTGCAATATTTAGCAAGCAAGTTATTAATATCATTAGTATAGAAAGAGTTTCTAATAATCAATAAGAGAAATATAATTCAATAGAAAAAAGAACAAAGGATATAAACAAGCCATCACAGAGAAAACACAACTGTTAGTAGGAGTTTATTACAACCTGTTTAGGGTGTAATTTGGACATGTCTATAAGCATTTTAAGTTTTTATACTCCATGATTCAGCCTTTTCACTTTCCAGAATTTGTCCCAAAGGTATAACAGCACTATATATGACATAATGATATGTAAGAATATTTATCTCAGCATTGTTTGAATGGCAGACAATTGAAAATACAAATGTTAAAGAAGAAAACGTTCTGTGTTCATTGAAACCCATGGGTTAGCATGCTAACCTGAAAAATGTATGCTGAATACATGCTGAATGAATAATAGTTGAGTGACTTTTACTTTGCATATGTGTTTGGTTCTGTTATCATCATAATTAGCTAGTTATTTAAATTAATAAAGGGAAGAGAGCAAAGGGAAGTCAGTACCAGAGTTTATGGAGGTGAAGGGATAAAACAGAGGGGGAGGCAGACACACACACTCATACACTCAGTAAAGTGAAAATGGCTCAGGGGAGGTGCTTGCCCATCAGTCTAACCTAGGAAAAAGATAATTGGCTAGGGGGGTGGAGTAACATGAAATTTTGGAAAGTTAATTGGTCAAGTTCCTTTCTTGAAGGAAACAATGGAACTTTCTCTTTCTTTCTCCCTGACCAGCACTCACTCACCTGTGGGTTTGCAAGCTCCCTCGCCATAGCCTTGTGGCCTTGGCAGCCACATGGCCCCTGGCTGTGGGGACTCCACATGCAGGATGCTGAACTGGACTGTACTTTAATATGGAGCAGAAACTATGGGCAGTGGCCTTTATTCTGTCCCTGCTGAAGACATGGTTGGACTGTTTCCATGGTGAGAAGGACATTGGAAACCCAGGAGTTTAGTTCCACTTGAATTATTACCCACCCTCCAGTGCAAATCTCAGGGAATTCTTTCCCTCATGACATTGCAAGAACTCCACTTCCACCAACAATGGTCCTATTTCTATTGTTTTGTTTTTAGACTCTCTTTAAATTTCCTGTTGCCCGCCCCCCCCCCCCGCCATTCACTCCTATTAAAAGTGTTTCCTCCATTCATCTTTGAATAATTATAACCCAATATAAGTACCATGTTGTTCAAAAACAGATCATTCTAAAGAATAATCTTCTAATGAAGAAATTACCAAGGAGATGCCTGTATTTATTTTTCCTCCTAATTCTTTACTAATTCTCAACACCTTTTGTCAGCTTCTCAGAATATGAGATGTATCCTGTAATGTGTTAATGAAGCTTCATTTATTCAGGTCATAAATACTAAGTACCTAGTTCATGCAAAATACTGTGCTAGTTGTTAATAGATTTATACCTTTGCTGAAGAAATAGGCAGAGCCCTTGGCACCAAGTACCAATCTCTGGGTAGCTCACTTATCAACTGATCAGTCTTTGCTGTTTCTTAGATCATCTTCCTAACTTTTCCCTAAGCTATTTGAAACCCTATTTATACACATCCTTCCCTACCCCACTCAGTCCCTTGCCCTTTGGCAGGTTAGTTCTCCTTGGCAGCACTTTTCATATTTGTAATTTTTAGAAAATGTTAATTAGTTACTTAATATTCATCTCTCTTATGAAAAAAGTGAGCTTCTCAAGGGGAGGGGAGGGACCATGTCTGATTTGTTACTTGTATTTCCATTTTGAATGTAGAACTTTGCACATGGGAAGCATTCGACAAAACATAATTTGAAATGGTAAACATGGAATGAGTTACCTGTTTTCCCTTAGAAACCTTAAAACGTTGCTTCTTTTAAAACTGCTTTAGACAATTCAAGATTACAGAATATTACATAGTTTGAACATAGAAAAACTGATTTTACAGCTTTGGCAGTAAAATCAGCAAAACTCTAGTTTCCAAAAAGCTATCTTTTGATTCAATTCAGAATGTTTGGTTCTGCATACAACATACTGCTCCTCCCCCCCCCCCCCCCCCGCCCCCAAACAAATGTTACTCTTATTCTTCATCTAAAACTATTGTCAGGAGGCCCTATGCTAGGCAAGGTTAATTATAAAATTGTATGTATGTCCCTATGCAAATATTAAAGGGGGGACAAAAGCCAACTTTGCCTAAGAAACAGAAAGGAAATGCTTTACTCAGAAAGCAGGAAAAAATGTTTTCAGACTGAGAGAAACACACAAATAGTTCTAGCAGCAACGAATGCAGAGATCTCTATCTTTTCTGCTCAGATGCCTGAAGAGCAAAGCAGCAAAAAGGCAAAGGACGCCCTCTGGAAACTTGTTGAGACTGGCTGGTGACTAGAGCTGATCTCTGAGATGGGCGTGTGAACTTGGCAGGCCCTGACATGGAACCAGTCCAAAGTGGGAGGCCAAATTTAGTGTCAAATAAGAAACAAATCCCGACTTAGTAAGAGGAGACTTTATTCAAAAGGATTATTGCCAGAGCTAGGGTGGGGGTTAGAAGACTATCACAAAAGGGAGAGGGAAACCTATGAAAATAGGGAGAATGTCCTGATAATAAGATCTGCAAGTGTCTCCAGAGTTAGGCAAAAAGGGGTTTTCTTTTAGAAAGGAGAAAGAGAGAGAGAGAGAGAGAGAGAGAGAGAGAGAGAGAGAGAGAGAGAGAGAAGGAAGGAAGAGGAAGGAAGGAAGGGAGGGAGGGAGGGAGGGAGGGAGGGAGGGAGGGAGGGAGGGAGGGAGGGAGGGTTAAAACATGGCTAGAAAGTAAAACAAAATTAGAAAGAAAATAACATTTACAATATAAAGTAAATCAGCAATATAGTAATACAGTACTTTAGAGCAGAGGAGCCCCTCATTTGCTGTTTTAAAATACTTTTAAAAGTAAAGCTGTATTTTTCAACAAAAAATTTTTCTCCACAGGAAACAGTATTGTATATGTGTGATTAATTGCCTAGATACTTGCTTGGGAACTACACTGCTAAGCAATTGTTTATCATCTGAAAATCTTGTGACATTTAAAAAAGAAAAACCTCTTGGGATTGCCTTATATTTGTTCCTCAAAGAATCTGTGCTACAGAAAGTTAAACTTCCAAACCAGGTTTTAATTCATTTTTCTCCTCAAATCAAATACAGTATTTTGGCTTTAGTTAGCCTCAGGTGAAATAAAATAGAATAGAAATGATTTTTTTTCCCCTCTTCATTCCCCATTTAAAAGCCCCATTAGAAAGGAAAAAATCGTGTTTATATTTCAACTGCTGCATAACAAACCACCCCCAAACTCAGTGGCATAAAACAACCATTTCATTATGGCCCAAGGTTCTGGGGGTCAGGAATTCAGACATAGTACTTCAGGCTTGTCTTTGCCCCACAGTCTCAGGGCTCAACTGGGAAGACTCAAAGGCAGAGGGCAGAAGAAGGAGCGTGGCTCAATAACCTGGGGCCACACGGACTCACATGGCAGTGGATGCTAGCCATTGTCTGGAACCTTAGCTGAGACTATCAGCTATATCGCCTACATGTGGCCTCTTCATGTGGCCTGGGCTGCCTCACAACATGGTGGCCTGTGGCACCTCCAGATGTGAGTGACTTAAGTAAGACAACAAGTGAGACAGAAGCTATCTAGCCTTTTCTCATGTTATTTCAAAAGCTGTGTGGCTCATTTTTGCTGCATTCAATAGGTTATAAGTAAGATACTAAGGTTAGCCCAAATTTAAGTGGAGAATACTTACATACCACCTCTTGAGAGCTCAAAGAATGTGCAAGTGTGTCAAAAAATCATCACAATGCCCTTTACAAGTCAATGTTTCACATAACCTGTAATGAAAATGGTAATGCACTCTAGTTGGAAGATGTCCAGTTCCTGCTTGATTTGAGTAAGATATTGTACCTCTCTAGCCCTCACTTTCCTCAGCTACAAGATGAAGGGCTGCCTGCCCTAGGTGGGCTCCACAGCTCTTTGCAGAGCTATGATTTTATGGCTCTTCCTATAATCAAAACCTTAGAGAGTCTAGTTTGAATTTCATATCTGACCTTTATCTGAGAGAAAGCTATGATGCCACTGAGAGCAGCATGCCATTCTAGGGCAGAATGAAACAGAAACACACCACCACCCTCCAATTCTAGTTCTTCCCATTGTAATTACTGGTAAACATAGCATCCACCTATTGCAAGTGCTAGATGCTGTTTCTTTGCCTCCTTTGCCTTATTTTCTCTCCATCCTTATAGCAACCCTAACCTTGGGATTTCTTTAAATACCTTTTGAGGGATCTGCTCAGGCCCACTCCCTCATGGGGAGATGGCTTCTCAGCTTCCATTAGAAAAGCCCAGAGTCAAGGCTGTTGACTTTCAAAAGCAAAGTTGATGTGATTATCAAAATAGAAAATGGTCAGGAGGTAGGAGAGGTGGAGGGGAGGGGTGGGATGTCTGAACTGACCAATTGAAATCTTATGTGAAGTATATTGCCACCAAACTCTAACTCAGTGGTGGTGAACCTTTTGAGCTCGGCGTGTCAGCATTTTGAAAAACCCTAACTTAACTCTGGTGCCGTGTCACATATAGAAATTTTTTGATATTTGCAACCATAGTAAAACAAAGACTTATATATTTTTGATATTTATTTTATATATTTAAATGCCATTTAACAAAGAAAATTCAACCCAAAAAATGAGTTCACGTTTCACCTCTGACACGCGTGTCATAGGTTTGCCATCACTGCTCTAACTAGATGTGTTGGTAGTATATCACATTGAACGTACTTATTGCATGGGCCATACTTATACCAAAAATGCATTGTTAATCTGAAATTTAACTGGGTGACCTGTATTTTTATTTGCTAAATCTCATAACATTAACAACATATTCTTCCCATTTTTCTTTTTGTCAAGAAAATTCTTGCTGCACCCTGTGAATTGCTGAGACCTGCTGATTATATATTTCAAGAACCTCCAAACCCTTCAGATTTGCCAAGGTAGGCTCTTGCCTGTAGAGCACTCTGAGATAAGAGAATCCCTCTTTATGAAGAGGTCATAGAGGATGCAGCCACCAATGACCCTCAAATTGAACCCAGTGCAATCAGAGGCCCCCACCCTCTCCTTTGTCCTTAAAATATATGTGTGCCCACTCTTCTCACACCAGCAGTCATTTCAGTGATGTGACCTTGAAATAGTAATGTGTTTCTAAGATCACCTGAACCCTGGTTAAGGCCTCTAGCCTCTATATAAATTGTAAGATTCCAGCAAGTAGGTGTGGAGATCTACTTGTCTTATGCACCCAGGACAAGCCTGATATAGAAGGTCCCTTGCTTTTTACACCTGCCAGTGTAGTTTCAATAACTATTTTTTTTTATCCTCAGCCGAGGATATTTTTTTCCATTGACTTTTATTTTTTTTAATATATTTTTATTGATTTCAGAGAGGAAGGGAGAGGGAGAGAGAGATAGAAACATCAGTGGTAAGAGAGAATTATTGATTGGCTGCCTCCTGGATGCCCCTCACTGGGGATTGAGCCCACAACCCAGAGATGTGCCCTTGACCAGAACTGAACCCAGGACCCTTCAGTCCGCAGGCCAATGCTTTATCCACTGAGCCAAACCAGCTAGGGCTCCATTGATTTTTAGAGAGTAGAAGGGAGGAAGGAGGGGGAGAGAGAGAGAAGCATGTACATGAGAGAGACACATCGATTGCAGGGAATCGAACCTGCGGCCCTTTGTTCTATAGGCTGATGCTCTAACCACTGAGCAACTGGCCAGGCCTATAACTATTTTTCTTATTATGGATGGACGTTGAGTATTTTTTCATATGTTTAAGGCTTACATTGGCTTTTCTGTGAATAGTTTATATTCTTTGTGTATGTTTTCTTTCTTTTTTTCCCCCATTAAGTTCTTAATTTCCCTCTCAAATTCTAGGAACTCTTTTTTTTTTAATTAAATCTTTATTGTTCAGATTATTACATTTGTTCCTCTTTTTTCCCCCCATAACTCCCCTCCTCCCAGTTCCCACCCCACCCTCCGCCCTCACTCCCCACCCACTGTCCTCATCCATAGGTGCACAATTTTTGTCCAATCTCTTCCCGCATCTCCCACACCCCTTTCCCCCCCAAGAATAATCAGTCCATTCCCTTTCTATGTCCCTGATTTATTATAATCACCAGTTCATTCTGTTCATCAGATTATTTATTCACTTGATTCTTAGATTCATTTGTTGATAGATGCGTATTTGTTGTTCATAATTTGTATCTTTACCTTTTTCTTCTTCTTCCTCTTCTTAAAGGATACCTTTCAGCATTTCATATAATACTGGTTTGGTGGTGATGAACTCCTTTAGCTTTTCCTTATCTGTGAAGCTCTTTATCTGACCTTCAATTCTGAATGATAGCTTTGCTGGATAAATGCCGGGGTCCAACCCCAGCAGGTCCAGGGGTCCCCAAAGGCGTAGATGGAGTCGGCGAAGAAGGAATGACACAGAGACAGTGTTCAGTTGATCAGCAGCCTAGCCAGGATCTCCAGCCAGGATCTCCAGCCAAGTTCTGGTCTGGATCTCCAGAGAGGTTCTGCTTCAGATCTCCAGCCAGGTTCTGTGTCCATGTTCTCTTGCTAGGTTCTCCAGCCAGGTTCTGTCCAGGTTCTCCAGTCAGGTTCAGTCACCAGGTTCTAGTCAGGTTCTCTTGCCCATTTCTGTAGTCAGGTTCAGTCCAGGATCTTTTGCCATGTTCTCTCCAGCGAAGTTCTTCTGTCTCTAGTTCTGTGTAGGTTCTGTGCCTAGGTTCTGTCTCTCTTGGTTCCGTATTCTAAGTTCTGTGTTCTAAGTTCTGTGTTCTAAGTTCTGTGTTCTAAGTTCTGTGTCTTGCTGTCTTATTACATCTGTATTTATACCAGTTGATTCAATCCTATCAATCTCTATTACAAAGGTTAGGGCGTTTCTTATCTCCATTCCAGGGAGTAAAGATTATGTAGCTTAAGCATGATTGTTCATAGTTAAAGTGATTAATTACCCACCTGGCACTAGTTAAGAGGTTTTATTCCCTCCCTAACTTCAGGGGAAAATCCCTACCTGGGGAAACAACCTTTCTCAGAGACCTTGGTTAAAACACATAGTGCCAAGAAGGTGAGCAAACATATTAAGAACAGTATGCCATATATGCCAGGTCCCTTGAAACAGCAAGCATGGACCGGCTCCCGGCAGATAAAGTAATCCTGGTTGTAGGTTCTTGGTATTCATCACTTTGAATATTTCTTGCCACTCCTTTCTGGCTTGCAAAGTTTCTGTTGAGAAATCAGCCAACAGTCGTATGAGTATTCCCTTGTAGGTAGCTGAGTTTCTTTCTCTTGCTGCTTTTAAGATTCTCTCTTTGTCTTTTGCTCTTGGCATTTTAATTATGATGTGTCTTGGTGTGGTCCTTTTTGGATTCCTTTTGTTTGGGGTTCTCTGCGCTTCCTGGACTTGTAAGTCTATTTCTTTCACCAGGTAGGGGAAGTTTTCTGTCATTATTTCTTCAAATAGGTTTTCAATATCTTGCTCTCTCTCTTCTTCTGGCACCCCTATAATTCGGATGTTGGTACGCTTGAAGCTGTCCCAGAGGCTCCTTACACTATCCTCGCATTTTTGGATTCTTTTTTCATTTTGCTTTTCCGGTTGGGTGTTTTTTGCTTCTTCGCATTTCAATTCTTTGACTTGATTCTTCCGCTCCTCTGGTCTGCTGTTGGGAGTCTGTATAATATTCTTTATTTCAGTCAGTGTATGCTTAATTTCTAGTTGGTTCTTTATCACAACATCGAGGGTCTCATTAGATTTCTTGAGGATCTCACTATATTTATCGGCTGTCTCACCAGTCTTTTCGAGGGCCTTACTAAGTTTATCGGCGGCTTCTAGACAGTTCTTGACAGACCTTAAAAGTGTGGTTTTGAACTCTATATCCTCCATTTCTATCAGTTGTGTCCTGTTTCTTTGTCTCCGCATTTTTTATGCTTTCTTGATGCACACCCTTGTGGTCTTTGTGCGCAGTCTTGTTGTAGTTAAGCCTTGGTTGTTGTAGGTAATACTGGGAGGGATTTGACCTCCAGGCCAATTGGCTGTGAGAATCAGCTGTGTCTGCAATGGGAGGAGAACTTCTGTCCTCTAGAACTAGGAACTCTTTTATACCAGGAAGATCGATTCTTTGTTTTGAATATGACTGAAAATATTTTTCCTCAGTTTATTGATATTATCATGTCTTTTCACTATTGATATTTATTTATTTTTGGCTTATGGATTTATCCTATGCTTACAGGAGAATTAAAACCTCTTCCCATGAGTGGCTGTGTCTATTTCTCCTTGTGCATCCTGGTTTGTTTGTGGGTAGTTAGTGCATTACAAAGTGCTCCTCATGTCACTTATAATGATTTGGGGCCAGAATTCTACTCTGTCTTGTTTTAGTATCAGGACCAAAGCTTTCTTTTTGTTTGCATTCGCTTAGTTGTACTTTACCCATCTTTTTATTTTCATCTGAATTGAATCACTTTTATAGGGCACATCTCTTGTGCATGACATAGTGTTGGATTTTACTTTGTGATAAAATCTGAAAATCTTTCTCTTTTAATAGGTGATTTAATCCTGTTTTCATTTAATGATTAACAGATATGTTTTGTATTAGCTCTGTCACATTATTTTATGTTGTATGTCAGTATTTAGGGTATTTTTAAAAAGTCTTTTACAATATAATCTGTTTGCTTTGTGTACAGAATTTTTATATTAAAGGTATGTATTCACATTTTATTGACTACTTTTATATACATAACTAGAGGCCCAGTGCACGAAATTCATGCACAGGAGGGGTCCCCTCAGCCCAGCCTGCACCCTCCCTAATCTGAGACCCCTTGGGGGATGTCTGACTGCTGTTTTAGACCCAATCCTGGAGATCAGAGGTCAGGCCTAAACCGGCAGTCGGACATCTCTCTCACAATCAGGAACTGTTGGTTCCTAATTACTCAACTGCCTGCCTGCCTGATTGCCCCTAACTGCCCCCCCCCCCTCGGCAGCCTGATCACCCCTAACCACCTCTACCTGCAGCCTGATTGCACCTAACTAACCCCCCTGCTGGCCTGGTTGCCCCCAACTGCCCCTGCCGGCCTGGTTGCCCCTAACTGGCCCCTGCCGGCCTGGTTGCCCCCAATTTCCCCCCCCTGCCTGCCTGGTTGCCCCACACAGCCTGCTGTTCACTTGTTTGGTCATCTCTCACTAACCAACCTGCCAGCCTTGTCGCCCCATGCAGCCTGCTGTTTGGTCATTACTATTACTGTGACGGCATCACTGACAATTTGCATATTTCTCTATTATTAGTATAGATACTACACATACTTTTTACTCACTTATTTTTTTTAGACAGTATTGATGACATTAGAATCATCCCCATTCCTCTTTTTCTTAACTTGATTCTAATTAATAATAATATATTTCTTAGGATTTACATTTGAACAGTGTGATCTGCTTATACTTCTCTTACTTGGTGTGTCAGCTTTGAATCACATCCTCCCACTCTCAGCGCTCAGCAGATTGTCTTCCATTCTCTTCCCCTGCTTCTGTTTGTTAATTGTGCCATCTCTACATCATCAGCATCATGGCATATGCATTCTTCTCTTTCCCCTTCATCACCGTAGTACCTTTGGAGCCAGTCCTTCTGTGATGGTTTTGGTTGACTAAAGTTCATTCTCTGAGAATTCCTCAAGAATGTCTAATGGGAGTCGTGCTCACTGAGTTCGTGCAACTGCAAAACTCTCTGTCCCCTTTGTATTTGAAGGATACCTTCATTTGATATAAAATCCTTGAATCATGGGTTTGCTTGTTTTTGTTGCTGTTTGTTTTTAATCTTAGAGTGACTGCTCTGTTGTCTTCTTGTGTTGACCATTGCCCTGAGGAAATCAGAAGCCAAACTGATCTTTTTGTCTACCCACCCAGAGGAGTCTTTCTTTAAGGTTGGATAACTTTCCTAGCTTAT